AATCATAGCCCAGCACTGCCTTGCTTTTACAACACCGATCCTCCACTTTCATCCTGGCAACCATGAAAGAGAGAGCAGAGAGAAGAGGAGGCAAGAGCGAAAGAGACTATCTAAGGACATATGAGTAAGGGGAAAGGATATCAGAGGAAATGGTGAATTTAAAGGCTCTTTAGTCACATCTGTCTTTCTTTCTAAGCTTCTTCAGAAAATAAAACTCTTCTGTCAAAGCCAGAGAGAAAGAAGCAGCATTCAAACCCTTAACATCATAGAAACTTTTCTTTTCTTAGAGTACAGAAATTGGCTCTTTGTTGTGAATTGCTGAGATCACTTCCCTGCGACTAGTACGGTATGCTTTTTTGTTTGTTATTATTTCCTGTCGGATTCTTCAGGAGGTGAACGTGAGTCAAACTGTGATGCTTAAGAACAATACGTGGCAAAAACTACAGAAAGTGTTAAAGGGGGGAAAAAAAACCTTGAAAAATGCAATGATTAAAAGTACACTCGTATTAATAAAAACGAGGAATTCATTCTTTTTTTTTGCAAAGAGAAATGATTACAGCTTTTAGTCAATGCATACGCAAATTTTTCAATTTGTGACAGGTCAAATATTTTATCTTAAATGTGTCTGAATTTTTAACACGTTGTCTAACTTTATTTTAAAAAAAGCCCCATCACTCCTTTTCATGTCCATTATATTATCAATTATAACAAGATTAATGAAACTAACAAACTCAAATCCATTTAGCTTTTACAAAATGAGCCGCACACCCAAATATTCAGCTTTGACGAGTCAAAGCAGCTCCTGTGAAACATATTAAGCTCAGATAAAGCCTAGTCTACCAAGAAACATTGGCTAATTAAAAATGACTAGATTAATTAAAGTGGAGATTTATTAGAGGGAGAGAGAGAGAGAGAGATCCACTTCTTTCAATTAGCATGATGCGCGCACACACAAATTACTAAAACACACACACATATCTATTTGTCTGCAACCTATGCACTTTCTTATATCTTATGGTTGGTTTATATGGAAAACATACATTATTATTGTAATATTAAATTCCTACGGAAAGTAATGACTGTATTTTATATTTATTACACCAATAATTCATATGCAAGCATTTTGGCGGGTTGGTGGTTTGATCCTCAGCTCCTCCAGCCTGCCATTTTCACCCCCAATGCATCCATCAGTGTGTGTGTGTGTGTGTGAGAGAGAGATAAAAACACTTAGGTGTTAAAACAAAGTGCTTGTGTCAGTATGTGTGAGGCTTGTAGTAGAAAGCGCTTGGGCTGCTCAATTAGCGTAGAAGAGCGCTATATAGTAAAATATCTGCCCATTTACCATTTTTACCATTTTTGCAGCACAAAGATACCCAAAGATAATTTAAAAAGTGCTTCAAAGGGAATACCTATATTTAAGCGTAGTCTCCGAATGGTTGGATTTATCCGAATGTCACACATTAAAAACAGCGGGGATAATGAAATTTGTAAGAGGGAAAACTAAGTAAAGCTAGAACTAACTCTCCACCTAAAGAAAAGAGTAAAAAAAATCTGGCACTAGAAGTATCACATATAAGCTGGACAAGGACGCCAACAACCCATCAGCCTTGAGTGTTTCATCTGTCCAGAAAAGTTGGCTAATGCTAACATAGTGTCAAGCAAGCCGAAGCGGCACTTGGAAACCAAACAGCCCTTCCGAGGGAAATTTGGCCCAGTTCAGAAGATTTCTGGATGGGAACCAGAGGCATCAATTTAGTGGATCAAACAAATTGAAAGTGCGACTCGAGCAAGCTGAGAGTCATTTATTGCAAAGAACAGAGAAAAGGCCTCACATGTAAAAGCAAAAGAGTTATTGCATAAACATGAAGGTGTAATGTTACGTGCAGATGCCAGAAATATACAAGAATGCCTATATCTAAGTGTACAATCAAAATAACTCATAACGGCAGTGAAGTAGAGGCTAGTTGGCGCAAATATGAATACAGGTGGTTGAGCAGGTAAAGAAAAATATAGAAAACTGCTGACCAAGTGGATCGCAGATGCTACTCCAACTAGGACTTTATTAAAGTATAAAAATATGTTTTCTTTATAATTTCGATCTATCTTCTTGACTGACTAATACCCTATAACATGTCTAAAAACACGTAAAATATTATTTGCAATTTCCCAGAGATCAAGATGACATTTTCAAATTGTCAAGTCCCCAGGCTGGAGATATTTCTGCTTGACAAACGACCTAACCTCTGTTTGATGGATAAACGAATGTGTAATAGAAACACTGCACTAAACTTTAATCTAAACCTAATCATCCTAACCTCAGTGCTGCTCAGCCATTTGAACAGCCGATGGCTTAAAACTTAAACCGATCCTTGAAAAGACAAAAGCACAAGAAGATACTCACACAGACGCACATCGGTGTGAACAATCAAAAATACATACACCTACCTGATGGTGCAGTCACATGACCTCCAGTCACCGTTATCTCTATCATCCATTTTGTACTACGATCACGGACTCAACCCCAAGAACTGAACAGATGGGACTGCGTCTGTGTTTGTGTGTGCGCGGATATGTGTGAATACGCATGCATCTGTTTGTGTGGCGAATGCGTGTGTTTGTCTGTGCGTGTGCGTTAAGATGCTTGAAATGAAGATCAGTCCAGCAGCAGAATTGCTTACTGTCATTCATGCCCTTTGCACATGAACACAAACACTTCAATGCACACAGACACACGCGCTGCGTGCGCACACACACACACCTGCCTTTATTAAAACGTCACATTCAGTGAATATACTGTGTGCTGTCATGCTGTCTGCTGTGAATGGAACGGCTGCGTATTTACAGTGAATTGTAAATCCTGCCGAGCACTCAGCTGTCAGAGTCTTATGAATTGCTAATATGTTGTATCTCGCACTGCCGATCCCCCTCTATCTGGCCCCTATCACTTTCATTGTGCGCTGAGCAAAAGTGAGGCCAGGGAATGAAAAAAAATCTAACTTATAAAAGGAAATAAAACGTGGAGATAAAGGATACGATGGCTTTAATGAAAACCTACAATACTGTCATGAAGTATCATTTATAATGAACACGTGCATTGATTTTATTACTTATAGTAGCGGTGATTACATTTTATTTTGATTTGGATGAGGACTACACTGCCACACACTGAACCATTTACCACAGTATCCTCTGCTCTATTTAATCATTTATGTGAGCACATTAGCAGCACCAGACTGCACCAAGAACAATCACACCTACTTCAGCAGGATACTAATCAAGATGTGTCTGATACTGCTGGGAATCTCTCTGAGCTTTTGCATCACATACCTGCTTTCTGCTGTATATCATCTTTATGCATATTGAATTTGATCACATTTTTGACCCCACAATTCTTAAATGGGCCATTTAAAGTGAAAAATACACTGCAGACAAAGGTGGAATCAGCATTACGGAGAAAATTCCTTTAAAAATCTAAATTCTGCCAACTTCCCAGGCTTCTTTGGCTTCTCATCCTTATCACAGAAGATGTATACTTGGTAGCTTTGCCCTTACTAGTCTCTCTGTGAATATTATTCCTGATATAGTAGACATTTATGTGACAATGAGACTTTATCTCAGACTTTCAAGCTGATGACTATAATACCTAATTATTGTCAGAATGTGTTGGAAACCCTAAAAACCATAAGAAAAATCACATTCTTGTCTTGTTCTTTTCCAACATTTAACTCAACTGGGAAACCAAACAATTTCTAGTAGTTCTAATAATTTGCCGGCATATTTTCCAAGTCATATGTAGCCAAAGATGGACAGACAGGTTGGAAAAAGTGGAATCTCCCCACTTTTCTCTCTTCTTTTTGCCTGTTTTTTTAGGCTAATCTTTCTTTCACTTTGCCTGTGCCTGATTTTCTATATGATTATTCCTCATTAAGATAATCAAAAACAGTACCACTAACCTTATCAGCTATCAGCAATGCCACCATCACAGAACAAACTTATTTTCAGCTGCTTTTTCCTAATATCAGGATCTGACACTATAACCTTTATATTCTTTATTTTAGCACAAAATATAGGGAACAGAGTAAGAAAATAATAACCTGATTCTGTACTAACAGTAAAGCCTTGCAACAGACACACATAGAAACCCATTCATGCACAATTACATGCATTTGTACACACATACAGGTGCGGAAAAAGTAGACACCTTTTTACTAATATAGCTTTCGTTGCACAGTGGCCGGTCACACCTCTGAGTATAGTGACAAATGAGGAGCTCTGGAAATGTAGACAGATCAGACGCACACAATTTCTCCTCACACACTTGCGCAAACACACACATACAGACTCAATAACTCACACAGCTAGAAGCAAACACGTAAGAACATTAATGTATCCCCACATACAGGAGGAATCACCCACATATGCTAACACACATGGAGCGCAGAAATGCAGAGCACAGCAGGTGGCAGATACAATGTTTCCCATCCCATTGTTTGTGTTGTATTTGGGTGTGTATCAGTTTAATGTGAGTCAGTGACTACACAATTTCAGGCTGATGAACAGGTAGGTTTCATCTTTGCAAGCAATGCGTACAAGTACTTATACAGCCACCTCTGCAGTCATTCAAGGCTATAACTGAGGATAATTCACACGCAGAAGCATTTAAGAAACTGTGATCTTTAAACAAAATCATCTTCAAGTTACAGCTTTTCTTATACTAAAGACACAAAGCAGACATAGAAAAGTACATGAAGGGGAAAGAGGGACGATACAGAACTGAGAGGGAAGTGTATTCCTTTTAAATGAAAGGGAAAAAAAGGAAAGGGCGAGGAAACTGAATAAGACATAAAGCAAAGCTTATAATGAGAAGAGGAGAGTGCAGGACATATCCTTGTTTCACAGACAAAACATGAAAAGGGGAAGAGAGGAGAAGAGGAAACTGATGAGAGAAGGAGGAGGCAAAGGAGGAGAGAGATGGAGGACCAGGGTTTTTCTCTACTTACAGAATCTCCAGATCGCGCAGCGCTCGGAAAGCTCCATCTTCGATGCAGCTGATGTGGTTGCTGTCCAGTTGCCTGCACCGCACACACAAACACACACAGACACACACACACACACACACACAGATGAGACAGAGATGGGAGAGAGTCAGGCGCAAGTCTGCAAGGTCCGCTCAGCTGGGGGAGGGACTAACAAAAGATGGGTTGCTTGAACGAGAGTGTGTGCATGTGGATATGTGTGTAAGGTGATACCCAAGTAGTGGGCTTAAGGTAGCAGGTAGGAGACACCGGAGTTAACTCTCTCTCTCGCACATGCACTCACTCACACACACTCTAGGAATATCAAGTCCAGATGATAGCACGAAAGCTAAGGTTAAGTCTCTCACCTCGGTGCTGATATGGCCAGCCCTAAGGAGAAGAGGAGAGGAAAAGGAGAGTGCGAGAGAAGAGACCGGTGCGCTGAAGTGGCCTGCCTGGCATCAGCCTATCACCTCCTTCCCCTGCCGCACGCCCAGCGCACACTGGCCACCGGGAGAGAGAGGGGCGAGAGAGATAGGCACAATAAAGAAGAGAGCGAGCGAGCCATTGCTACTAAAGCCCACCCTGCTTGTCTGTTCTGTAAATATTAATTGCATCTCTCCTCTCCCATCCTCCTCCTCTCCCTCCCCCCATGTCCTCTTTTATTCTTTTTTCCTCTCTCTATAGTGAAAGAGGGAGTAATTTCATTACATTAGGCCAGCCAATCCATTAAGGGCCTTTTACCGGCTCTGTCACTGAAACAATTTCATTAAAAGGAAAGCCTCCGTAAATCAACCTACAGTCACGACTCTGCCTCTTGTTCCCATTCTCCTTCTTTCCTCCCTCTCTCTCACTAACTCCTCCATTTCCAGGCTTGCTCAACGACTTGCTTGCTGGACTACCAGATGCACCCTGTACCCCACTGCCATCCATCCTTTGCTTTTACTTTAATTTGCTCGGCTCTAGGTATTCAGCTCCCCTCCCCACCAACATCATCCACCCCTCATGAACCCAGCAACCCTGAAAAGTCCACTTCCTCCCTTCCTTCCTTACTTCCTTCCATTCCTCCAACCCATTCATCCCTCTGTCCCTCCTACGTCATCTTCTTCATCTACAGGAGAGTATGGATGGACTGCAGATGAAAATACACAAAGGGCAGACATTTAGAAGTGTCCTCATGTCCCTTGTAAGTGGCATTTAACCTATTACACACACAGACACACTCAGACAGGTGGACACAGGTAGATTAATACGGTAAACACAGCACAGAAAGATTAAAATACATACAAACTGACAGAAACACTATGAAACTATTTATTGTCTGCTCTTGAGCCACTACAACTGTGGGGCAACCGTGGCTCAGGGGGTTGGGAAGTGCATCTGTAACCGGAAGGTCGCCGGTTTGATTCCCGGGCTCTCTGTCCTGGTCGTTGTGTCCTTGGGCAAGACACTTTACCCTGCTGGTGCTGGCCAGAGGGGCCGATGGCGCGATATGGCAGCCTCGCTTCTGTCAGTCTGCCCCAGGGCAGCTGTGGCTACAACCGTAGCTGCCTCCACCAGTGTATGAATGTGAGAGTGAATGAATAGTGGCATTGTAAAGTGCTTTGGGTTCCTTGAAAAGCGCTATATAAATCCAGTCCATTATTATGACTACACCTTAATCTTTTGTCTTCTTCTCTTCCCCAATCTCCCTTCCGCTGGATTCCTCCATTGCTAATCACTTTTTCTTTGACTTCGACCATCTTATGTTCGTTTCTCTCCTCTTGTTTTGGATCAGTCTTCTCCACTTTTCATCTCTCCCAATTCACAATCCATGTTTTTCTCTCATCTTGTCTTTTATTCCCCCTTCACTTTTTCCCTTTCGCTCTTCATCTACCCATCTCTAATCAATTTCGTCTCCCTGTTTTCTTTCATCAAGCTTTTTAATTTATTTTTTTCCCTTCTGTGTTTGCCTTGGTGTCTGCTTGGCACACTGCAACACCCGTTAAATCAGTCATGTCAGCTTTTAACCCCGAGGAAGGTGCATCCCAAAAAGGCAGCTGTAGTTTTCTCTCTTTCTGTAGGGCAGCAGAAATCACATCAGAATTTCTTTTTTGTTTGTTTTTGTATATACATGTCCACAGTGCAAGTCTGTGTAAAAAATCTTAGAGACATATAAGTCCTCGGAGTATCTGAAAATTGTATTCACTACAGTGCACCACAGGTACACCTCAATATTCTGTATGTCCGCTTATCAACAACAGGCAGCTGGCCAGAGAAGGGCCCAGATGCACCATCTTCAGACAAGATAAATGTACAAACTAAATGTTTTAGAGCACATAGCAGTAGTAGAGAGTCATTATCTTATCACAGCTCTTTATACAAGAACATGCAAAGCAAACTCAGAAATATTTCTATTGAGACAAGGCTTCAGAAAGCTACCATATAAAGTTCACTGTAATTTTTCATTGCTTGATCATTATACTCTCTGAGGCGGCGCTGACATGTGCAGCAGGGTCACAGAAATGAGTTGACGGCACAGTGTAGTAAACGTATTCTTCAAGCTTCTACCTGGTATTGACCAGCTACTAGTGGTTAACAATTGGCATGGTTTTGATTTGGAGTAAATAGAGAAAATATCAAACCAATCCATACCCACAGGCCAGGTTTGGATCACAGCATAATTATTTTCAACCCTCCAAAGACTTCCATAGAGTGATGAGATGCCTGGATTTTCTTTGAAGCAATGCAATCATATCTTAAAGGTGATTTAGTGTTAAGTTCTAGCTCCTAGCCATTGTGGCACTTCATTAACTGAGCACAATCTGTAAAGATTGGACAGGATCAACAATATGGAGCACTAAACAATGATGGTATATGAAAGCGTACATAAAAGAATAGTCTGGGTTTGTGCTCTTGTCATAAGTCATGTCTTGAAGCTATTTTTTTTCTTTGTTGCCCACTTGTTGGTTGAGAGCCGCAAGTGTAAGCATCTGTTAAATGACTGAGTCTAAAATATAGTGAGTCTGGGGATCATCAGCATATGGTTGTGCCATGTTTTCTGCTTTATGTAATTAAAAGGCATGTATTTTGGGGGGAAGGAAGAATGGCGCACAGCCTAAACAGCCATATGGAGATGCATGGCACCGCTAAAGTTGGCTAGTTATTACAGGCTTTTTATTCACGGCACTGTTCTTTTAATGTCGAGGAATAAAGTGTAGAGACAGACAACCAACAACAAATTAGGCTCTTTGTCATTCTATTCATACATCAAAATCTATGTGTGAAGAATGGCAACTCATGTGGTGTCTGAAGGAACTTTCCATCCCACACCTGCTGTTCTAGCCTGGGCTCCTGTAACTTAACAAAGGCTACCAGTTATATTAAGCTATAGCTTAATATAACTGGTATCATTTGTTTATATTTTACAAATAATGTAAAATATAAAAAAATGAAGATAATTTGGAGCCTAGGTGAATCAGCCAATATTGGTGTCTTGTTAGCCTGACATCACAGTACAGGGGTCCAGTTCAGCCTTCACCTTAAAGTGCAAATATGTCTAGCTGCTAAACGTCATCTTTCCAAAGCTACCTTTTCATTTACACTGGCAAATGAAAAGAATACCCATGAAACATTTCGTAAAAACACTTCACTTCTAAATGTAACAGTTCTTGGTTGCTGGTTAAATTTTAAGCTGTTAGTTTGCTTTCAGTGCTAATTCTACAGTCTAGAAGAGGGGTGTCAAACTCTAGGCCTCGAGGGCCGGTGTCCTGGAGTTCGACACCTGTGGTCTAGAATAACACAAATAAATGTTGTGTAAGGATCTGGGCTAGTGGAACTTTAAATCAACCTTGGTGGAAACTTTAACTATAGATTATATGCTTTGTTTAATTTTTGCAAAACCTAAAAGCAATAAAAGGGTGTCCAACTCCAGGCCTCGAGGGCCGGTGTCCGGCAGGTTTTAGATGTGTCCTTGATCCAACACAGCTTATTCAAATGGCTAAATGACCTCAACATGTCTTGAAGTTCTCCAGAGGCCTGCTAATGAACTCATCATTTGATTCAGGTGTGTTGACCCAGGGTGAGATCTAAAACCTGCAGGACATCGGCCCTTGAGTTGGCCTAGAGTTGGACAACCCTTGGCTTACTCAGTTATTCTAATTGCAAAATTAATCAAAGATTTGTATTCTTGCACTTGACCTCTTCTATGACAGAATTAAAGACAAGTCCAGAAATCTATGGAATAAAAGAAAAGTTGTTATTATCTTCAGTAGATTTTCCATGCAAGAAGAAAACATACTTTTCTGAGCCTTCAGACGGTCTCAAAGAGATATAAAAATTAGTTTAATGATTGTATATTCTGAGTATCAAAACAGTATTTACAGTATTTCTAACCCTCAATCCTAACCAAATACTTCCCTAATAATTAGTTTTGGTTGCCCTAAATTTCACCAAACCTGTTGGCTTAATCCTCAACTTTTCCCACCATCCCCCTTCCTCCAAATTCTTCTCCTATCTTTTGCCATCCTGGCCTTCATCACCCCGTCCACTTGGGCAAAATACCCACATTTTGGAAAAGCAAATGTGTTTAGTACAACAAAGCATTTATCCATGATTCTGCTTGCTGGACTGGACAGGACATGTTACTTAGAGAAATTGTGTTCCTTGCCCTTCAAGGAATTCATTTTTATCTGGCATTGACCTGAGCTGTATGTTAGGCTACTCCCCATGTCATATTAATCACTTTTACATTGGAAATGACAGTTAACCACAATTTGGTTTGCATTTTCAGGTAGTGTCAATCTTACGGTCGTCTTTGGTGTCTTGAATTGAATACCCAGTGGCTACACTAGAAGCCAAAAAAGTAAGTAAGTAAATAGATACATACATAAAATGGCTCACAAGCATTATGGGTAGGGGATTCTCATCCCTTAATAGAGCTGACAAAGACTCTTAGACACTTGCTGAAATATCTTCAGCTATTTCTCTTTTTGATTACTTTTTCACTGCTCTCCTCCAGAAACTTTACAACTCTGCTTTTCCGCAAAACGGAGAAAAGATACTTGTTTCTACACTGG